CTGATATGACAAATTTTTTACAGGCAAATATATCATACATCACTATTTGCTAATCTTTGGTTCTGGAAATAAGAGTGTTTCCTTTTTCTATTCAATCAGAAAGTTCGGATTGAAATGACTTGGATGGTGTGAAATTCAGGTATTTTCCAATATGGAAGTCGCAAATGTTTGATCACGAATCTAATAATAGGTGAGAATTTTAGCATATGTTTGAATTTACAGTACCTCAATCATTTTATCTTTCTCTTAGGTTTGACATGCCGAATTACTAGACTCGTTAATCTTCTCATATGATGGATTGATTATGATTTATGAATTAGTAGAGTTATAAACACATACTTACGGCGTATTCATTGTTGATTGATGGAGAATTGACGATTGAACTGGACATTGGGGTTTTTCTATATAGAATTGATGAATTGAGGGGGGTTTGTCTGGTGTACGTGTAGGGAAACCATTGCACTCGAGTACCGTCTTGTAATAATCGCGATGGAGGGTTTCGTGTTGCTTTATGGATGCTTCAGTTTCCTTTCTTCTTTTCTCTTTACCGTTGAATTCTTTTGAGATATTTTACTACCTTTATTAAACGGACAGATGGTTTCATGCTCCTGCTCTGTTTTAGAAGGTTCGCTTCCCTTTTCTTGCGCTATTCAAAGTGGCGCAATCTATTCCTCTGTTTTAGAAGCTGCGTAGTTTGGTAATGGGACGAGAAGGAAAGGAAAGATTGGTGGTGTACGTTTGGTAAGAAATTTAACAACTTGCCCTCTGTTTTTGCGTAATTCAAGGCAAATCCCATTAGAGTATACAACAAGATCATAAATAATCCATCCTGGGAATCATATATGGAATCTCCCAGATGTTAACGTTATGTCCAACAACAAAGTAGGTTTTACCATGACAGGGGAAAGCCATGGCTGGCAAAACCTAAAGCAGAGGAACGTGAGTAGTAGTGAGCGGCCCCAGAAGCAGAATGAGGTGATATTGAGATGCTGTAAATATCTAAACCGGTCGGTCGGACAGATATGGTGTAGGAGGACATGTGACATGTTTGACCTTTCCATTGCACTAACTAGTGGTCATATAATCTAGGACATGAACATGATCCAAGGGTTGCTTGTCAAAGACAAACTATTATATTTTGTAGACGACTCGCTTAAGTTGCTATTATTTTTCGTGATGTAAAAATTTTGTTAGGTATCTCACAATAATTATCGATGACGGATGTTGATTCATAGCACATAACAAATATGTGATTTCATTGTTTTGATGGAGCTAAACGGGGTAGAATTGTGAAACGAAAAGACGAGCAAAAAACTGTTAGCTGAGAATTCGTATTCTATGAGGTTTGAGTCTTCAACATGAACCCTCTTATTATATATTGACGTCGTGCATTTTTCTTCCTTCCCATATCAACGTACTTGTTTTCTATATATATATGATAAAAGGATGAAAATTTTCATGTTAAATAGACCAAGGAGGGTTCGATAGTTGCGAGATATATATAATTGTCATTCCTACTAATAGATAGCTTGTAGCCTCAATAATTATTTTTCAATATCCAACGTAATATGAGGTGTTACTCATTTTGAGTCATGTTGTTATGACTCGAAAACTTATTATTTGTCATCGACTGCAATTCATATGGCTAGGCCTTTTGGAGAAGGTGTTACATGTATCTTCACAATCTCTATAATATGGATTTTCTCAAGAATACTAAAACTAATAATTTATATCCATAGACATAACTAACACATCGTGTTAATAAATCATCTAAATATGTATTCTTCACTTTCTTACACTATCGATTTTCCGATCCATTACAACAAGCCATATCCTATTCACACCAATTTCCGTCCGCTATAGCTTTAGCAGGTAGCAGCAGCAGCCAAGCTCTATTCTTCCTGTGTTCCTATTGCTACTACCAACTACCAATCAACCCTCAATTTCTTTTCTTTATCACTTTTAGGAGGACCAACACCCAACACTCGGTTTTTTCTTCTAAATGAACCCTTTTTTTAGCAAGGGTGGTCTCTTTCGATAGATTTGTTTTAACCACTCTCCTCTCATATTGTTTACTCTCTAAATTTTGTAGCTGCCAACTGTTTTTTGTACTTTTCTTTTGAATTAACAAATGTGATTTATTAGAAATTTGGTGAAAATTGTCAACACGTATAATCACTTTTTTTCTAATTGTTTTCTTGTTAAGGTCAATGTAAATAAATGCTATTAGCTTTGGTAGTACTTTTCCCTCACTCAAATCATTTTTATGTTGTGAGATAATTTGCCCGCGTCCCTTAATTAGAACTTAGAAGAAGGTCCATGCATGCACTTTATCCTCATTTCCAATGCAAATTTAGTCAAAAGAAGCACTCGTCTTATTGTTTTCATTGATTCAATTTATGGTGTTAAATCTCTAAAATAGCAGCCACTCTTTATGTAAAGATGAAATAATGCTCTAATTTATACACAACCTTTCTCTTTATTGACAAAACTATTCATCAAATATGATTAAATATAACGTGGAATCATATACTATAGTAACAAACATAGCACATACCATCAACTCTCGAATTTCTATCGTCACAAATCGATCATAAAGAATAGCTAGACGGGAATGGTATAAAAGACACAATTCTCATCATTCATTGTGCATGTATGTCACACACGTAATAACACGGTCGAGCAGACATATTTTATAGTCTAATAACGATGTTAGATCTCCTATTGAAAATAAATAATCCCCTTGTTAGTCTCTCAAGTCCTATAATTGAGAGTCGATTTGTGGATGTTATATGTGCATTGAAGTAGTTAATTGATGCTATATTTTTTATTCCAGATACTGTATGTGTTTAATTTGATCCAATAACACCATTATATGAACATATTTGTTGATGAAAATACATAAAATCGGTTTTAACGGTGTTCTGCGATTTGGAAGCCAGAATTGAATTGATGAGTGATTATAATTGAATAGAAAAGTAACCAAATGAGCAGGCGATTTGACAAATATTATCGGCTTCGCAATTACAACAATGGTTGGTTCCTACTTATCTTTCAACCTTCTTTCTACACGCACCAAATCACAACACCACAAACTTAAATCGTTTCAACTTATCTTTCAAATAATTATTAAGTGGCGCATAAATCATAATCTTCTTTTTATTCGCCTCAGCTGCTAACATCCTTGTTTCTTCCTTTACTTCAGATGGCTTCTTCCTCAGGTGACTATGAAAATAACATCTGTTGAGTTCAGTGTCGTTGAAACTAATGGATGCATGTAAACTAGGAGAAGCTGTCAATTCCTTTTTAGTTATTTAATCAAACTTCGAGCCCTTGGTCACAAAAAAAAAAATTGTAATTAATAATTAAAATATGGTCCAATCAATTTTTGTTCATCGTTGAATTTGATGCGCTCGCATTAATTACTTGATGATTTGGTTACTGTCAATAATATATAGACCGTTCCCTCTCATGAGTTGTCAACCTCCATAATGCTATTATGCAAAACTACTGGAGTACAATTGTTTTGAAACCGTTGAAGAATTTTTTAAAGTATGTAAATTTCGTAAGAAAATTATATTAACATTCAATAACTCAACAATAAAGTAGAATATTGAATGACCATGAACTAGATAGGTAATTATCATAAATGAATGCAAGACAGGAAATGACTGTTGTATTTGTGCATAAGGTTCGAGTAGTATATTAAGAAAAACAATGTTGGGCGCGGGAATTGATGTTATGGAGTCACATATAAAACGAAATAAATATATACACGTTCAGAATTCAAACATCAAGTATAATGAGTTATTCGGGTCAAAACAACTCGCGTAAAAATATTACCCAAACGAATCGATACAAACACAACCAGCAAGAAGCATGCACGAGACCGCACAAATTAGGATGGTTGATGGCCAAGTCTTGCTTTGATTCACGCGTTTCCCCCAATCAACAGTGCTAGCTAGCTAGCCCAGAAAGAGACTGGTGGTGATTGTTAAGTTCATTGATTCAGTTATGGATTGTTGCTCATCCTATATAATAAGTCAATGGATTGGTTTGTCGCCTTATTTGATGTATATATCTCTCTAGTCTCTAGCTAGTAAGAGATGCCATCTCACTCATCTCCTCCATTGTTTTCAATACAGAGAATGACAGTACCATAGCCCATACACATATGGTTGGGCCAATCTCAGCCTATTGGACATTGTAGCAGTTGCGTTGCTGGTCCTGCGTGAGTTAGGAAGGGGACTAAATACAAAGGCCCTGCTGGAAGTGGGTCCATGGGCCACTTGTCCATCCATGATATACAAACTACTTTTTATTTATTTATGAATGATATAAAAGTGATATCTCTTGGAAATAGGTTCTATGATCTAAGCATTGTTGGATGGAGTCCTGCGGGTGGAATGCAACAAACGTTTGGGTTAATAACGAAATTGGGCCATCAAATTGGCCCAGCTTTAAATTACGTAAATTGAACAATAGACGAGCCCACGGTACCCTACAACCATTTAAGTAAAGAGAAAGAAAGCCCAAAGAAAGATCTCATGATTTTTTAGTGCCAAGAAAGACGATGCATAAAAAAGGGAGGTACCGCGTAGTTTTCTCAGTCACGACTCACAACCTTCTCATTTCTGCAAAAGCAATGCACGAAGAATGCTCAAATTCACAACAAAGTCATGGGAATGACCATTACATTGCTCTTGTCGAGGGAACCCTACTGCGGGATGTTCTGGACAGGAAGTGCAATGAACATCCCTCTATGCCGAGTGATTAATGCTGCTAGATTAGTTGTTTTTATCCTTTCTTATAGGCTCTGACAATTCTTGCGATGAATGTCAAGCTACTCATTTCCATAGAAGCTAACAAAGTTGAGTTCGGGGATTAAAAGAGAAAATTAACACATACATTCCAACAATGGAATATTATTTATTATCAGAAAACTAAAGTTACAAGGTACTCAATTTCTTGCAACGGGGCATTCTTAGTCAAAATAGAGGCCTTGGTTAATCAGCAGGTTCACCGCATGAGCAATTCCGACTGATATCAGTGTCACATTAAGGGTTTCATCATACCCAACCCAATAATGTTTATCTGTAACTAGAGAATCACTAACCTGGGATTTGTAGCTAGAGGGATCACGAGATTGTTGGGGACGGTTTGCAGATTAGACAACTTCATGGCGTTGATTACTCCAGTCACATCAAAATCAGCGTTGGAGAAACTTACCGTCTTGAATCCTAGGTTAGAGAGTGCTCTCGCCACCTGAGTAGGCGACGAAGGAATTTTGGCGCAAATTGAATATGAAGACCAAGTGATCTTGATTATGAGTGTGGGCGACAACGACTTGCACCAATGGAGGATGAAATTTTCTGTTAGCGCTATGATTAGAATCGTCAAGCCTCTAAACAGCCCTTCGTCGTGCGGTTGTAGGCTGGCTGCTGCAGCAGGCAGATTCTGTGGCGGGAGGCATGAGGGCCAAGGCTGAGTGAGACGGTGTATGAGAGAGTGTAGTGAGATTCTTGATTTCTTGGCTCGTAGAGAGGAGACCGCTAAATGCTAACAGAAGAAAACTAGAGTGAAATATATTCTTATACCTCACATTTAACCTGGCGTACCAGGGGTGGAGAAGTCAACACTTGCGGAACATGCGACCAAGATTCGGTCGTTGGGTCCTCTGCAATTACTCATGCTGATTAAACAAGGCCTCCGCGCTTGAGCCCTATTTCATCCACCACCGGTACAATCCTGTATTTGGGCCTAGACCCAACACTTCTATAATTTTTACGTTGGAGTTATAGATTCGTTTTCCACTGAACATCAACATTTTTCGGATAAATTCTCGCAATCCTCCAATAACGCAGAGATTCAGTAAGCATGTACCCCCTATAGGCTATATAAGCTCAAAGTCTAGTTGTATTAATCGTCATCAACTTCCGTCGTCAAGTTAAGTCATTTTTAGAGATTGATTTGCATGTTCAACATAAAAACGGCAGAGAGTATTACGACCATTGGATGAATGGTTAATTTGTATTTTAGTCCGTTGAATTTATTTCAATAAGTGTAAACATAATAATGACATAGAACTTGAACACCTGATCTATTTCCGTCTCTGGTAGGTGGAACCGAAGTAGACAAATACTTATCTGTTACAGTTGTTGCAGCTAGTGAGCCAGAACTGCGGACCAACTCAGATGTATGAAGATGAAAACAATGCAACTCTTTTATCTGAAACCAGGTAAAGTTAAGAGTGCAGGAATTTCCGTCCAACCCACAAAGAAACTTCAGCCGAGAGTGAGAGAGACCAGCAAGAAAAGAAACCCCATTTGGCAACGTCGTAATCCATCTATTTATCAATCTGTTGGCACAAACAACCCATTACCTACGTGAGTGAATGATGCACAAAAAATCAAATCGGTACAACCAAATTAGTGAATTACACCACCAACAAAACAAAAAGGGCTTCTTCCGTTTTCCCATATGTTGCCATTATTGTAATTCAAAGGTCCCTACCACATCGCCTTTTCTTTCCCGTAACTCATGCGTCACACGACCAATAATTTTGCCAATGTCCTAGTCCCAACAATCACTACCTTGATTATTCATAATTCTTTTCTCCAACAAAATGGTTGAATACAAATCCTAGAAGATTAGACTAATAACGTTTCAACCAATTTGAATAGTGTACTCAAATTCCTATAAAGTCTCGACAAGATAACAGATCCCCCGTCCAATTGACGCTTCTTTACCGCATGTGTTAACAAAACTTGTGTATAGATAGAAAATGTGAGCTTGTATTGTGGCAAACCCAATAGTTTGATTTACAAGATTAATCAACTAATTGCTTAATAGGACTAAAATTTATCAAAATTAAGAAACCAACCACTCGTTGACATAAGATGCAAATAATTGGGAAGGAATCCTGGCACAAGGTATACAGCTTACCTGTTCAATCTCTCTTATAATATCCGCAACCTGTCCTAATCTGTGCCAAAAAATAGTAGGACGCTCCCCTTGTATTATTGTATTGAAGGGCAAAGGTAGGTAGGGTACCCTACCCCACATGCCAGCAAGCAAACTTGAAGCTGCCAACTGCACTGCAAATGGTTTCCCCAATTGGGCCGCCGCAGGTTCTACCCTTTGCATTTCAAAAGAGCCCATGGGCCATAGGCCATAACCCTTCCGTGTGCAAACAAACAATTCCCAGAACCAGCCCATTCAATTCGGCACTGCAATTCTTATGAACTAACACCAAAATGCTTCGATTGATAACCCCCCACGGAAAGAACTTAATTAGGCTACAAGAAGATTACAAATTAATTAGCAAAGACAAAATCAAACTTGGTTCATTCATCCCCTCCCCAAAAATCAAGCAACGGAAATAATTTCTGTAATCAATGTTCTGAATCTGAAATAATCTCCATCATTCTTACTACCGATGGATTTCGTTCCTATCCCCGGCTGCAGTCGCCGACCGGACCAGAAGTTTCAGTATCGCCGTCGACCCCATGATAAATCCATTCCCATGTGTTTTAATAGACCCAACGTTTTAGAAAAATATATACATACAGATAACTGCCGGCCGATATCACGCGACTTCGCCGCCTTTCCTGACCCTGCCAGTTTGACCCCCGGTCACCGATTTATTCTCGCCGACGAAGTCGTCACGATGAAGGACGGCGACCGACTGGTCATCCGTCTAGATCTAGAAGCTGAGCTCTCCCCCATGCCGAAACAAGCAAACCAGTGCCGGAAAACCCGGCCCAGGCCAAGCACACCGCCGCGGTTACTGCCGCTGCCGGCACCGATGTTGTCCCTCCGGGTTCGGCTCCCTCTAGATCCCCACGAGATCCGTCGAGGCAAGCCTCCGTTGTTGCTGCTGTTGTTGAACCCGCCGTCCATTTCGGTGTAGACCACCGGGAGCTCCCTTTCTCCCCTCATGGCTCCAGTGAACCGCCCCACCGCGTACCCGCCGCCCGGTAGCCTCCAGATTGTCAACCCGACCGCTTCCTCCTCGCCGGCCTCGCTCGTGCCCTGCTCGCTGACGGATCGGTCTTCGTCCGCCGCAGGCAACTCGTGGCGGCAGACAGGGCACGAATTGCGGAGAGAGAGCCAGGGGAGGATGCAATCGGAGTGGTAGAGATGCTTACACGGCATTTCCCGGGCCTCCGATTCGATCTCGAAAGCGTCCATACACACCGCGCAGTGGGACTCCGTGGAGGTGTGCCTCTCGTTGATGATTACCGTCGGCATCGATTCGATTGCCGCCTTCGACGCCGGGGGATGGTCGTACCGACTCAACCCGTTCAATTCGATCTGCGACAACTGGTCCAGCAGCCGCTCGAATCCAGATCCGAGCAGAAACTCCGACATGCTCGGCGGCAGCGGCCTCAATCCAGAACCGGCGCCGTCGTCGTAATACAACTCGAATCCACGGCCTCCGCCTCCTCCGCTCTCGCCGCCGTTCCCGGTACTGGTGAAGCTGTTCCCACTCTGGCTCCCACTGTCCGCTCCGCCGCGGAGCACGATGACCGGATTAATCGGCGATCTGTCCCCTCCTCCTCCACCGTTCCGCCTTCCACCGACTCCTCCCCGGACCCCCCCTCTTCTCTGCTCCGGCATGAACATAGCCGCCGGGAAGCCCCGGCGGTGGGGGCGCGTCTCCATCGGAGTCATCTGCGGAGGATGCTCGATCTCCTCCACAAAGCCGGTCTCGCAATTGGGGCACGAAACTGGATCGTCGTCTTGCTGCGCCTGGCTCCACACTCGGACGAATCGGTTGCAGCGGTAGCACCAGTAGGAAGGTCTGGGCGACGACATGAGGATGAATCTGTATCTATGACTGTCAATTTCTTTTACCGGCGTTCAGATCTGAAAGAGGAAAGTTAACTACGGCGAAGACCGCCTTTGTTGGAAGAGAGGAAAAAAGGGAAATTCAACGGGAGAGAGAGAGAAAATTTTAGTGGTGGGAGAAGAATGGATGATTATAAGAGAGAGAGAGAGAGAGGGAGGGTTGAGGAAGGAAAGCATCCAATCTAACGGCGTAACCCGCGTCGACAGTGTTAGCGTTTGACGGGGGGAGGAGGGTGGAGTGACGTGACCGCGGGGGTGATCTTAACGGCGTTTATAGGGGCGTTAAAAGAAGGAGGATTCCTTTTGTTTCTAATTATTTAAATTTTGTTTTGTCCATTTGAGTATGGAGATTGGAGAACACAGCATTTAGCACAGCGTTTGGTAATTGTTTGTTTGGGTGCCATCCAGCTGTGGGAAATGTTCCCCTGGATTTGCGTGGTCGCAAACATGGTGCGGAATATCATTAACCCTACTATACTATTATTACAAAATTAAATAAATCTATGATGATAAGAATTCGACAAACTTTTTTTTAAATATAGCGTTGGACAAGGTCTATGATACTGTACCGTATCGTATTGGAGGTTAAAATAGTAGACGGTAATTTACGCTAGTAACAGTCGAACTACAATTAAATCACGATTTTGCTATAAATTATCTTATCGTTGACTTTTTCGGTATAGTTTCGTAAACCATGGAGTTGGGTGTATCTGGACAAGTGTGAATGCAGTTGGAAATTGTGTATGTGATTTTTAATTACACTCAATAATTACCGTCACAACCACTTTTATGCAATCTTAAATTGGATAAGAGGTATACAATCTTAAACGTTGAAATATGTAAAATTGGTACATGTTTACTTGTGGGAACTGGGAAGGTAGGAGAAGGTCATGTGTTAAACTTGAGGGGTTGTCTTGTCATTTTTCTTTCCTGGGTCATGTGATTATTTATCCTTAAGGGGTCATTTGGCAATTTCCAATAGTTTGGGAGTAATCTAGTTATGCTGCAGCAGTATGAGTATCATTTCAACATTTTCCAACTTGAGGTTGATGTGGTAATTTTTCATTATTCAAAATTAGTTAATTTCTCGTCGAGAACTACAAATACCTGGATGTCCACGTAGGCTTTAACTGACTACACATGCCATATGACTTTAGGTCTAAGTACTAGCCTATATAGGTTTACTTAGTTTGCGAACTAAACTCGTCCGGATTACAATAAAACTAGGGCCGATTACAAATCAATCTGATATCACTTGTGTTTTGTAACATCCATATTTCTTTTGATAAATATTGTTTGCTTTCACGGTTTTGATATTAGGTATTATAAGTGTTGGGGGTATTACCCAGCGAGCTAGGGGACAAAGCCCAAAAGAGTAAAATGCCAAGAGCCAGGTGGCGGCCAACCGGCTGGTGGTCCACGGCCTGGGGCGCCTGACAGGTGTCAGGAGTCTGACAGGGTGGTTAGCTGTCACACAG